AAGCTTTCGTCCGTCACACGACGGACATCATCAGAGCGAGGCAACATCGTCACAACAAAATTCAAGCTAACGAGTCAAGAAGTCGAAGTCGTCTGCCATAGTAGTTGTCATGATTCCCAGTATCAGACAGTGGACTTGGTACATTTTCTTGACTCGTTAGCTTGAATTTGGTTGTGACGAATTTGCCTTGCTCTGATGATGTCCGTCGTGTGACGGACGAAAGCTTAGCATCTTTTTATCGTAATCGAAGTAGGTTACTTCGGAAACAGCTTCTCCATGACTGTTTCACTAAAGCCAATCTAGAGCAGGTCAAGAAGAATCGGCCGTCGTCTTCTGGTGGAAGCGACCTTCGAATCTCTTCACCCAACACTTCCACTCGAAATGGAAGTAAGATCAACAACGAGGCAACAGTTTAGACAGCAGTCCACCCAATCTACAACCCTCTGCTGGGAAGATATGCACAAATCTGAGTCAAGGTGGCAATTTTCTAAGACGAACAGCACAAAGAACCCTGTTAGGACATCGTGAAAACTGGAATGCGAGTACAAAAGGGCCTGGAACATACTGGTGGATTTGGAGGGCCTCGATTTGTGTTGTGCACGCTTATATGCATTGGTATGCACGTGTGTATGTATGCATGCACACATGTCGGCATGTATGCTTTGGATTGTGTGGATGAGGGTGAAGAGAGATGGGAACGTGAAACATGCCCATCAAAACTGCAGCATGCACACACGCAACATGACAGCCGTGGGTCTGTTCGTGAACCAGCCTCAACATGAAGACGACAAACTCGTGTTGGTGTGCCGACATGTCGGCTTGACAATTGAGTGAAAGTACATGAAAAAGTAGACGCATTCCGACGGATTCGCAACGCCAGTCAGGAGAGATGGTGGAGAGAAATGTAAGTTGTGCCATGGAAGGATGACATACAAGTGCAGCATAGAGACAGAGAACACCACCATCTTGCCCCCAGGCCAAGGAGTGTCGATTCCCACCTTCCGATATGTCATTCTTCCGCTCCTCCTTCGTCCAATGTGGACGGATACTTGTGGCGGAGCTTGGTACAGCTGCTCTTCCGTTTGATTGGCGTCTTTCTACTGAGTTGAGCTCTCTTCGTCACAGACTGAAATGGCACTGTGACTGTGCGGGAAAAATGCAAAAACTGGCGCTGCCTCTTCTGAGAAGCGTAAAGACGACGACTCGGTCGAGAAGCCGTTGAAGAAGATTGTAGTCATGGTAATAGCGTCGAAAATGGAAATAAATATGCCACAAGCGTCCAGACGCTTTATTCGAGGTTGGAGCTACAAACTATATCTTTGGCCTGTCGAAGAGTTCGGACGAGGCTCAGGTCGGAGCAAGGGATTGAGTCTGATAGGAAAAGACTCATAATTGAAGATTAGCCGAAATTCAAAAATTATTAAAAACAATTTCAAAGCAATTTTACAGAGTAGAGTAGAAAAGGTTGACGTGGTACTGTAGATTGAGGCAGCAAAAGTGCTCATATGCATGCATTTCTATGAGATGTATTCACTCTATTTCATTGAAAGTGGCCTTAATTCTTAAAAGGCACCCTCGTCCCGGCTGTAGTGGGCCTCAGGTTCGACCTCGCCGGAACTAGTCTCAACAACACCTCCAGTGGGACTCGAACCCGGGTTCTGGTAATGCAACCTATAGCCTTGACACATTAACGTCCCGTTGAGAGTGCTGATGCAACCAGCTAAGGCGAGGTTGAATCTTCAGTCCACTCCGGCCGGGATTATGAGATTGAATGGAAACATGGGGAGGATTGTGGGAAAACTTTCAGGGAACTATCAGAGTGAATACATCTCATATGCATGCTAACTTGCTAGCCTCGAACCTACTTATAGACGGAAATGTATGTATGTATTTTTGCACTAAAATGTCTCTTTTACAGGCCGTTATTTTAGTAGCCGCTAAAAGTCGGTCAAGAGATGAACTTCTCTTGTCACTTTGACAACTGCAAAGCCTGCTACTAAAACTGGCCAGGCTAACAGACAATGCCAGCTAAACGTCTGGGAATATACCAAATTCACGGCCCGACACAGGAAAGATATCATAACTGCTTTTTCAGAAGATTTCCAACAAGAAGTCTTCATCGAGGTCGTCCTGACAACATGACGATATTGCGAAGATGAGATCAGATTAATTGAATGCCACGTTTCAGCCATTATCAGCCACTGCCATCGCCCGTTTGTACGTCCGGCCTGCCCCAGCGATGGCTTCCACCGGGTCGGTGCTTGCGCTGGCAGCTTTTGGTTCCTTCCGACTTGACGAGTTTTCATCACGCACCTCGTCTCGAGTGAAAGTGTGCGCTGAAAGGATTCACGTAGGTCGCCACCTCACTTCAACACCGTCCGGTTTCGTTTGGTTCTACTCGGACCTTTGGGGCATTCATCGTGACCGAAGTAGCTGACTTCGAGGACTGTGGCAACAAACTACAACAGATTGCGATGATGCCGTGGAATGCTTACAATACATGCACCATTTGGGGATATGTCGGTGAGTTTTTCCACTCTTTAACGTCAGTGTGGCTGTAAGAATAAAATCCTGCTCTGATGCTGGTGTCTGTCATATGATGCTCAAGACGACTCCGCCATCGACTCGCTTCACAGTACATTTTCATTCGAAAGTAAAGTCAACTGCTCAACAAGCATGAACCAAGAGGTTCTTCAAAATC